CAAAGTGCTTTCTCATTGTGGGAACTGTTGGGTTTCGCTATAATTTTTGAGGTCTATGTAAAGTGCCTTGAGATAAGGTATATTAGGATTTGGCGCTATACACATAAAATTGAATTATTGATGATCAAGAACCCCCCAGTAGGAAACCTGAGGGAGCATTCAATTCCATTTACTGTAGATAGCCCGGCACACTCCCGCTACCTTCCTTCTCCCTCTGAAACTCCTCGGTTCCGAGAAAAATAAACCATCATCTTCATGCCCTGTTACCTTCGTTTTTTCTTTTTCTGCTAACTGTGCATCACACAGAGCCTCACTTGTTCCACAGTTCACTTTTGAACTGATGCCCTTAAATAATATGTAAACTACAACCAGGTAACACTGCTAAATAAACAGAAAATATGCCCAGTATTTCAGCTCTTTATGTTAAAGGCCTGCCATTCGCTATATCTGTGAAGATTTAACCACATCAGAAACGACTGCCCTCTTCTGTCAATCCTTCCCGATGCTAATATTCAAAGAGCCAAACTCCCCTTGTGCACAAAGGGCTGAGAGAGATAATATCAGCAGGTAAAGGAAATGGTAAGAGGAAGATCATCCAGTGACACACGCTCATCCTGACTTTACTTATGAAGTTTGAGGGGTGTCTTGTTTTTGCATCTATTAAAGTAACACCATCATTATTTTAAATACTTTCTGGAAAATGCACATGGATTTTCCAAAAATGTAATCTTGTTTCATTTAAGCCTAATCTTAATAGACAGGGTGTCTGCTACAAACCCAAACTGGTGAAGAATCCCTTCCTAGCTCCTGTCAGCAGTCGTGCTGCAGCGTTTTGGAGCAACTGAAGGGTTTTCACAGATTTACTGTGACATCCTGACAATAAAGAAATACATAATCCAGTCTAGAGCTAAGAAAAGCATGGATAGAGACTTATATGTGGGAGTTATTGATGTGCGGGTCAAACATAACTCCAAGGTTCCTCACAGTGTGAGCTGGGGACCAGGTTAATGCTATCCAAGATTAGACAATGATTGTCTGAGGGGATAGGAGCCAAGTACAATAACTGTCGTTCAATAGGCAGTCGATTGCTTTATCTCATCTGGTGTGTCATGGTAGTGTGGTGGCTGTGGCTCAGGAGGCAGAGCGGGCTGTCTCTCCCATTTTGTGAGCTGCAGTGTCCTCGTGCAAGATACTGAATCCACTGACAGCTGTGTGTGTAAGAGTGACAGTCTGTGAGTGATGTACCATCGAGAAAGTGCTGCATATAGATGGACTGTATGAAAGTGTGTAATGGATGGGAAATGATGCAGAAGCTGGGACACCAAATGACATCTTACCAGAAAGACTAGCATATTTTAAAAAGCAAAGAAGGAATGATACCATTTGGTGTCTCAAAGTGAAGCTTTGAAATGGAGGAAAGGTTTTTAGGCTTTTCTGAGCAACCAGTGTCTTACACAACACTTCAGAGGCCACGTTGGTTCACTTGTTCCCAGAAGTCAGTCACAAGCGCTTCCTTTCCTTCCTTCCTTTATCTGTCTTGTCTCTTTGGCCACGAGACGGCAAGACGTTTGACCCCACAATCATCTACTGTGACGCAGCGATCATCCTCACAGACAAAAATATCTTGTCTGTGCTGCAGGTCAGGTGAGGACTGGCTCTGACAGCTGACTGTGTGTGACTCAGTTCTAATGTGTCTCCTAAACGTGGAGCAGCGAGCGCTCACAGACTTTCATCAACATCACTGCGTGTGTGTGAATGCAGGAGGCTTAGAAAGCTCACACCTACAATTACGTCTCATGCACAGAGACATTTAAAGTGTAAAGAGGATAGTATGGACTGAGTGAAGACAAGATGGCGCCTCACTAGTGGCAGCCTGTTGCATCAGCTCTCGCTCACTTTTGAGCTCTTTTTTCTCTAAGCTGAGTCTTTTACTCGTTCTTGTTATACTTTTTTGTGTTTTNTAATGCACTTCATACAGTATTGTGATTTGTGACAGGCCACATCAGTTCACATCTTTGGATTGACTGCAGATCGTAGGATATTCTGACACACTGACTCCCCTTTCAAATAACCTCAAAAGAAACTCTGGATGGCCTGACAAGAACAAGCATAAACAGATGAGATGCCGCTGATGTTTTAATTAGCCAACGTGCTCTTCCACAGAGATGGAGACTGAGCCCAAATCTGCTCCTGTGTTTGTTTATTCCACTAAGACTGAGATAACATCATTATGAGCAGTCAGGTAGGACTCAAGCACAAACATTTTAATGTGCTTGTGTTATGCTTTTCTCAGGTACGTGTTATTTTGTTGGGATTCTTTTATGCAACACCTGGGTTGTTAGTTTATCTTTTTTAACAGCCGCAACTTCAAGCATCTCTATTGGGTAGACAGAACAGATGCAGCTTAATGATACACAAAGTTTTTTTGACAGACAGACAAACAAACAGCTCCTGTCTTCCATGACAGTCAGAATGTCTCCTTCACTTTTGTTGGCCTGCAGTTGTGTTTTTGCTTGTGTGTGCTACACCACTTAGATACTATAGAAACCATGAACTGAACTAGACATCTTCAAATTAAATAAATTAAAATAGTTGAAGCTATTGTGAGTGAGTGTCCAGAGTCTGTCCCTGAATGGAGAGTCAGAGTGTTACGAGTCTGAAGCTCCTGTATCTCTCTGGCACGCTGTTGCACTCCCACTCGGCTGCAAGTAGCCAACTCTTGTCCTCTGACAGCTTTAGGGTTCAGTTATTTATTGTAGTAGTGATTGTCCTCACAACATGGCAGTAAAAATGACAGGTAAAAATAGACTATGTGTTAGTTCTTTTATCTGATCTCACTGGCAAGCCCCCACCTCCCCCTCTCACCTATACCACCACTCATCAATAAACTCTGGACTGCCTCAGTGTGGACAAGAAGAGTCCTGAACCTCGTGTCCTAACACCTGACAGTGAAGACAAAGTGAAAACAGTAGAGGGAGGATGTTTGTCCTGGAAAAACAAAAGGTTCATGTTAATGAAACAGGCTGTTTAACAAAGAGGAAAAGAAGAAAACTATGTCCCATGTAACTGTGACGTTTATTTACAGGGAACATATCATATTATACATTTCTTTGAGTAGTTATTTATTATAAACTGAGACTTCAGGCCGTCAGAAAATGTGATTGGAGCAGAACACATCAAATCTGTGCCTGAAAACAATCATAAAACCTTTTTAATTGTGGTCCATTGCATTGNATCGTACTAAATATTTATGAATGACTGACAGATTATGTGTAAGGTTTTAGTTTTGTTTGGACCCAAAGCAGAGACTGATATATGTACGTAGCAAAATAGTTTATTCCTCACCGAAAAGCAAAAAGGAGCAGGCAGTGGAGGCAGCCAGCAGGCAGGCCAGCAGATTCCCAGGGATGGCAGGTGGGCTGAGCACATGGACGAAAAGCTCAGTAGACACAATGTAGGCAAACAGCAAGGCACACATTACCTGAGCAAACAGAGAAAAACACAGGTAAGGCACTTCAAAAAACACTGGCGGTTCACTGAGGAAAATGAATGCAGCACCCTACCGTATCAGACAAAACGATCTGGCAGAGCAGTGGAGTGAAGACCAGGCTTTTATAGGCAGGTCGATGAGCTGAGTGGAAGCAGGTGTACCTTGTCTGCTGCAAGAGGAGCCAGCCACTCCCCCTGCCACACACATGCCCTGCAGGAGAAAGAACTAATAAAAATAAAAACAACACAGAATCATCACATCTATATTACTTTTATGAGAATACTACTGAGGAGTATTAGAGCCAGGTATAAGAAACAAACAGTGAAACAGTGAAGAGAATGATAAACTGTACATATTGCTATTGAGATATTGTGGGGGACAAAAGTGTAATTAAAAGAAAAACTGTTGTTTTTTTTTTTTTTCCTGGGACCAGGATGTTCTGCTGAGGTCCCACACATGTTTGTTGTTATAAATACATGATGCATCATTTAATGCATCAATGTAAACTGTTAAAGTCTGAGAAACTTCAGAAAAACAATCCATTCAAAAAAAGCTGTTTTTGTGTTGATGTTCACGTTATTGTTGTGTATCCAACAGTTCCTTTGATGTCTTTGAAACCCTGCTGCTATGCTATGTTCAGGAATCTTATCTTTTAATGTCTTTTATCTTGAATATTAAAATCTGGAAGAGAGATTTCTCAGTTGAATTTGAGACGGCGAGAGGACAACAGCTTCAACCTGACCCTACGATTTCAACACTGCTNCACAGGAGAGGTGAAAGCTTTGACCTATGGTTGGAACAGTTAGGGGGCAAAGTCACCAGGAGTGTGTGGTCTTCTTTCTCCCATTAATTATCTTTGAATAGGAAAAAGTTTCATCCACTGTCAACACACAAAACAACCGGCTTCGGTTGTGTAGTTTCCTATGAATGGGGACCAACAAAATAAAAACCCAACTCTATATTCACTTTATGAGAATACTACTGAGGAGTACTAGAGCCAGGCATAAGAAACAGACAGTGAAATAGTGAAGAGGATGATAAAATGTACATATTGTTATTGGAATATTGTGTTCAACATAATGGTAGGGGGGACAAAAGTGTAATTAAACCATAGCATATTTTTTTTATGTATCTGTTTCTGAGGGTGGGACCAGGATGTTCTGCTGAGGTCCCACACATGCTTGTTGTTATAAATACATGATGCATCATTTGAATGCATCAATGTAAACTGTTAAAGTCTGAGAAACTTCAGAAAAACAATCCATTCAAAAAAAGCTGTTTTTGTGTTGATGTTTAGATTTAAAAATATCATTCATGTTATTGTTGTGTATCCAACAGTTCCTGTTGAATATTAAAATCTGGAAGAGAGATTTCTCAGTTGAATTTGAGACGGCGAGAGGACAACAGCTTCAACCTGACCCTACGATTTCAACACTGCTACAAGTCTGAGACTGTCTGAAGACACGTTCACTTCTTTTCTACAACAGTTACCCTGTACCTGTGTTCAGCCATGGGTAGGAAGGGACACAACGCAAAGTACAWGGTAAGATTTCCTACACTTTGTTTCATTTTACACATGTTCAGACCATCTTATATTTTATTGTTTCWTGTTTTCTCTCAAACTTCAATACAGTTTACATGACATGAGTCTTTGTGGATATTTTGCAGCTGTTGTTTAGGATATTTCACTTTAGTGTTGAGATACTGTATTTAAGAGAAATACAGAAACAGCATATACAGGAACTTGTAAGTTATAATTTCATGTGATGACCATGCTCAATATGTGAATCAGTATAAAGGTGAAAGCCCTCTTGTCTTTTTGTGTGGATCTAAAGTTACGATGGGACTGTGTATTGACCTTTTATATGCATGTTTGTGTGTTTCAGTCAGTTGTTCATCATGTGGAATCTCCCGCCAAACACACTGAGGTCCTCTGTGACGAGATCAAGCACTTGAAGAGTGAGAACTTGGAGCTGGCTCATCAAATTGAGTCACTTAAGATAATGATGTCCTGCAAGGAGSCTACGTGGAATGAGACACAGGCCACGCTGGCCGACTTGGAGGACGAGGTCAAGGACCTGAAGCTRCAGGTGAAGGACAGGGACAAATTTCTCCGGAAAATGAGTTGTCGTCCTAGATACACCCAGTTGTTTGAGACCGAGAGAGTGAAAGAGGAGCTGAATGCAAAGCTCAACCAGATCAGGTTGATGGAGCTTTCCTTCAACAAGAAGATGGAGGACATGATCTCTGAGAAGGATGCAGTGATCGCCAAGGTKACCKAYGAAAGAGTGGCACTTGAACATCAAAACCTGGAGCTTGTGACCAAGCTCACGGTCATCCAGACGGAGGTCGTCTCCAACCAGAGTGAGTGGAAGACAGAAATCCCCGCTCTGGAGGACAGTGTCAAAACTGAGCAGGAAGTGAAGGAGGCCTGCACTGAAAAAATGGAGGACACGGAGGAGAAGTGRGCGGCCAAGCAGGAGGACATCCTCAACCAAGCCAGAAGCATAGAGGAGGACGTGGAGCTGCTGATGGACAAAAACACTGAGCTTCAGGTTTGTTTSATCTGCTCAGTTTGATTTGAATAATAAATTGTCTGATTGTTTTCAGCTCTCGACTTTTGAAAGAGAAAATACTGAACAAATGTTCTGRTCTTACAGGAACCTGCTTGGAAGACTGTCAACACTAAGGCAGGATCACGGAAGAAGAGGAGAAAGAATCAAAGGTGTAAATGAAGGAGGAGATGAAAGAGGAGAAGGAGCAGGAGAAGAGGGGGAAGAGACTCTATTTTCCCTTTAAACCCCTCAACTCCCTGCCACCCCCTTACCTCACCCATCGTTCCTCTACCTGAACCCWGTTTACCCTCRKKTCACTTTCCATTCCAAACCTGAGAATATCATCTGTTCTTAAGAAAATAAAAGAACATTTGACTTGACAAATGATTCTCACATGTCTTGTTTGAAGTCTTCTTCACTGCAGTCTGATATTCTCTTTGAATACTCTGGTTCCATTTGGAGTAAAACAGACACTGTCTGTGTCAGGGTGTGGATACCATGTGATRAACAGCTCGTACCTGGTCACAGGTGCAGGTGAGCGTGCAGTGTCATCYAGGTCTCAGTCAAACCCCCAACCCTGAAATATGGTTACCTCTGGTTTCACAAGTCCAAGATGGTTCAACACTTTAAAGACGACCGTTCACAAACCAAGCAAGCTCTGTTTCATCGCACACAGAGAGACGGATGTTTGTGTGTGACAATGGTTTAAGGTTTCACTCTGTTTTTGGTGGATTTTAAAGGTAAAGTAACAGATGATTGATTGCTCCTGACAAACTTCCTCCATATGTCAACTTTGTTTTGCTAAATACATGGGTACTGACTGTCAGGCTCTGTGAGGCGAGACATGCCTTTGTATCTCAATTGTGAGAAATCAAAAGATTTCATTTTTCACCATGGCTGAAAATCAGGGTTTACAAGTCGCCATCAGTGACCTGATCTCCTCATCCTCAGATTACGAGATGCAGGAGTTCCTAGGGGGTGAAGGTGAACAGCCAGAGCAGGAAAATAACCACTGATGAAATGGTGGATTTAAAAATGATCCAAAGGAAGAGATAGAATGAAAAGGCAAAGAAAAAAGTGCAACCTACAATCTGCACATCAACATATAGAATACAGATAGAAAGATAGATAGATAGATAGATTTCTTCACATTAGATAATGAATTCAAATAATGAATATTAATATACAATTTATAGGAAAAAAATATGTATGAGCTAAAATCAATGAGGCGAATCAACCYGCTACCAACATACAAATGTAAAAGCCACCACTCTGTACAACTTTGTRTCTCTGTGCTTCTTTTGTTTTGTCATTTTAAGATTGATTGTCCATGAGTATTATTCAAAAGCCCCAGAAATTTCAATTTTTACAAATTTTGCATTTGTGGAACAGTCAAAAGAAAAATAAGTGGAGCTTCAATTAGCTTCCCCTGCCACAGTGATGAGAAAAAAAACATTACTGCCATCAGTGATGGGGAATGTGGGAAAAAGCCACAATTATGCAGAGTTTGCTCTTAAAGTCTCTAAGGGACATAAGACTTCATCTGTATATGGACGTTTTGAGGGTTTTTCATTTACCTGTGTGAATGTTTTTGTTGGATGTTTTGTTGAGCTGTGGACACGTTGGACCTTTTATACTGTGTTTGCCCTTTGAGTTAATTATTTCCTGTTTTCATTTGACACTTCATTTCTTGTGTGTCTCTGTTGCTTTACTTCCTGTCTGTGTTTGGGATTGTCTGCCCCTGCCCTGATGTGTCTGAGTTCTGTGATCACTGTGTAGTTTGTGTCTTCTAATGTCTCCTCCTGTTTGTTGAAACATCCCTCTTACACATTTTTACACATTTACACATGCTGTAATTTTGCTGGGTGAACGGAGAGTCAGAGTGTTACGGGTCTGAAGCTCCTGTATCTCTCTGGGACACTGTTGCACTCCTACTCGGCTGCAAGTAGCCAACTCTTGTCCTCTGACAGCTTTAGGGTTCAGTTATTTATTGTAGTAGTGATTGTCCTCACAACATGGCAGTAAAAATGACAGGTAAAAATAGACTATGTGTTAGTTCTTTTATCTGATCTCACTGGCAAGCCCCCACCTCCCCCTCTCACCTATACCACAACTCATCAATAAACTCTGGACTGCCTCAGTGTGGATAAGAAGAGTCCTGAACCTCGTGTCCTAACACCCGACAGTGAAGACAAAGTGAAAACAGTAGTGGGAGGATGTTTGTCCTGGAAAAACAAAAGGTTCATGTTAATGAAACAGGCTGTTTAACAAAGAGGAAAAGAAGAAAACTATGTCCCATGTAACTGTGACATTTATTTACAGGGAACATATCATATTATACATTTCTTTGAGTAGTTATTTATTATAAACTGAGACTTCAGGCCGTCAGAAAATGTGATTGGAGCAGAACACATCAAATCTGTGCCTGAAAAGAACCATAAAACCTTTTTAATTGTGGTCCATTGCATTGTGCTAAATGTTAATCCATCTTATTCTAGTAGCTTCTCTTTCTAATATATATTAATTTGCATGATATACAGAGAAGGCAGATAGATGCTGAGATATTTCACAGGAGAGGTGAAAGCTTTGACCTATGGTTGGAACAGTTAGGGGGCAAAGTCACCAGGAGTGTGTGGTCTTCTTTCTCCCATTAATTATCTTTCACAAGATACATCCTCAGATATATCTTGTGGACCTAACTGCTAGCTTGTTCCTGGATTTTTCATTTTTGTGCAGTAATACTTGTCTAAAACTCATGATCTAAAAATAACAATAATATAAAAAAGGTCTGTCCACAGCTTAAAGTGGCCACAATTTATATTTTCATGATAATACTTCAATTTAAATGACGATGGCTGGCAGTGGAGAGAATCCTCATTTTAATCTGCAGGTGCCCTTGCATATTCATGCTTCAAGTTTCAGCTCATTATTTAATTATTATTATTGTCCAGTGCACACATGTATTGTTTTTCTTTCACTGTCGACACTCATGGAATCATTTTCAGTGAAAAATCCCTTAAATTCCACTTTCAAGGTGGAGCAGTGGTGGTGGCCTAAGGGGAATGGCTCTTTGTTGCAGACCGAGACCGAAATCTTGAAGAGAATAAAAGAGCAGCACTTGTCCTTTCAACATCACATTGCAGAGGTTCCCTTGAGCAAAGCACTGAACACCAAACTGTTCAGAAGAGCTGCTCAGTGACCATCAGTTTCAGGTGCAGAGTAAAGAAATCAATGTGACAATGCAACATTTGTTTATATAAAGACAATCATGAAAACACTAATTCATTGTTTCATAACCATCATTTCAGCAGTTCTCTTCTATATTTCACCATTTTTATAATACACTGCATTATATTAACAATTGTTGGTTATTCAGCACGAAATGTGTGAGTTGAAAATTGAAGTGAATCAGAAATAAAAGTCCGCACTGATCCGTAGCTCACTCAGTGAATTACTAATTAATGAACAGGCAAGTAGTTTCTTTCTCACTCTGAATGAAGGTCTATCAGCTGCTGTGATAGTGAATGAGTGTAAAGCTCCTGAATTTCTGTCATTACACGTACTGGTCACCTCAGAGCTTCCATTTATGGCAAGTAGTCAGTGGTGGTGGTGAGGGGGCCTTCAGTCTGAGTTGAACATGTCGGATGAACTGCAGCAGTGATCAGTGACTGGGTCGAACTGCAGGTCAAAATCTAAAATGGGTGCTCTCACTCCCATTAATGTCTGTGCAGGACAATCGACACACACACACACACACACACTGCAACAGAGCACTGGCTGCTTGTTTATTCAAATTGTATTAATATTGATCACACCGCACTCGGCACTTCACTTCCCATGACAACTAAGAATACACGGAATGCCAAATATGAACTCAAGTAGATGATTCGTCTGTGAACGTTGCGCGTTGCAATAATGCAGCATCATTCTCCATCTGAAGTGTTTGGAAAAACCCATTCCTAATCTAATTACTCCTTAAGTTAATTCAATTAATTCTTATTGAATTAATTGATCGGCTTATTCACTGTGACGGACGATAGCGAGCCTGCACTGATATGAAAATTCTTGTTGAAGTGTCCCCTGTGAAATGGTTTAATTTGTTGAATAGATGAGATGAATTCAGCAGTCCTTGAGCTGATGTTTCAACATTTAAAGACCTGCACTCCAAACTGTCTTTTTCTTCTTGCTTCCCTGCGATGGCTGGGCTTCACGCTGCAGGAGGACGGATGCGCAGAGTTTGTCTTCCCATTCATTTACTGAAGAGATGAGCTTCTCTATGCTCACCTTTCACATCGCAATTTAACAAACGGACGCACCAGCAGGGTTTTGTGACACCATCACGAGTCACCGGCCTCTCACAGTGAGCTACTTGCACAACAGATGCGATGGTGGAACCTAAGCCTTCAGTGCATTTACACTGGGAAGCATAAATATTAGAATATTCACAGATTCTGAATTTTTCACTGGAAGAAAAGGAGAACATGTTTTGTTTGGGCCTTCAGTATGAAAGGTGCCATGGTCCAGACCAAGATTTGTTCAACCACAAGAGGTGCTGTAGGTCAGGTCAAGCGAATTAAGATTTGTGTCCAGTGAAAAGAAAACACTTTTGTCCGATATAGACCAGACTTTCTGATCAATTGCAGCAAGTTGAGACATTATTAAACAATAGAAGAAGAAACAGAAGAGGAGGTGGCTCACAGGGTTGTTTGCAGTCTTTGACGATAGCAAGCCTGCACTGACCCCAACGTTATTTCGAGTGTTCAACCTTTCTCACTAACACAGAACTCTCCAGAGTGTCCAGGTGATGGGTGGTGCAGCATGCAGGAGGCAGGAGAGCTCATGTTTCTGTACGCGCCGCATCGACACCAGTAATGGACCACATCACTAAAAGTTCTCAGATCTCATCTTCATCTGTGTCTTCAATACGTATGGCTCCTCTTTTTCTTCCTGAGGTATTTGTATTGTTTGGGTTTTTTTCAGCTTTTTGGAGGTTGCTTAATTTGAAAAATTTGTAAGATTTGCTTAATCGTACATTATCCAGAGTTTTTACTTGGGAGCTGGCTGGAGAACCCCAGGATAATCTCCCCAGCAACTGACTTGGGCATTTGCGCTCTCACATACAGCTCCTCTGGATCATTTCAGGAGTTCAGGGCCTGTCTGGGAGCAGCTAATGTCTGTATTTCTCAGGAGTTCAATTCTAATTTCCACCCTTTCTTTTTACCATCTGTCACCCTCCCCCTTGATTTCCTGTCCCACATTACCTACTCTCTCTCATCTCCGCATCCTCCTCTCCATCCCGCCTGTCATGGCTGAAGAATGTGT